GTGTGTGAAGGGCAGCAGGCTAGGCCCAGCAGGCCCTTCCACAAGGCCACATGTGACTCACCTCTTCTGTCTGTCACCCCCAAAGTTGTCCCCACCATGATGGGGGCCTGTGCTGGTCGGGAGAGACACCCCTAGCAGGAATTTTATAAGAAAATCTCTAGGGCCTCCCGCTCAGCCCAGTCCAGTGTCAGGTGTTGGCTGTGACCTCCTGCAGATCAGAGGGTAGAGGTGGCCTGCGGGGCAGTGGTAAGGGCAGTGGATGGAGGAGGAGAGGGGACTGTGGCAGCTCTCAGCACTGAGGAGACACTTCCTGGAAGGGCTCAGTCCTAACATTGTTTATGCTTACAAATGAGGGCAGGGCCACGGGGAGAAGGAATTTCTAACAGAACAAAGGCTTCTCTACCCCCCACACACTCGCCCTGCGTCCTCTCAGAAAGGCACGGGCTCTTCTCATCAACTTCAGCAAGAAACAGACGGTAACTGCTGACAGCACTGCAGGGGCCACCACCCGCCTGGCTGGGAAGGATGCCAGGCCTGACCAGGCTCTCCTGACCCAGGTCCCCCGCACGTACCCCTCTGGGGGCTCACATCTGCCAGGAGCCTGGGCAAAGCTCACTGGAGCTCAGAAACCACCCCTTGTAGCACAGACAGGCCCTCTGGGGACCAGAGAGGCAAGGGGACTCACTCAAGGACACAGGGTAAATCTGACTGAGCTGGGGGGAGGGATGGATCCTCTGACTTTCAGACTGGGTCTGGGATCACCACCACAGGAGGGCAGCCTGGGAAGTGGGAAGCTGCAGCTGCAGTGTGGGGGTGGGAAGGAGGAGCCAAGCCAAGGAGCAGAGAAGGCAGCGCCCTGTGGGGAAGTGGGAGGGGCCCCCCAGGCAACCCAAGGGCTGCGGAAGAGATGTGGAGGAGGTTGACACTCTCTGGATGTTTCTTCAGAACGGTTCAGTGTTTTCTTCCCATCCCTGCGTGGGATCTCTTGAGGTTGGCTGGGAGGTGGTGAGCTCCTTTTTCCTGGGGGTATGCAAGCAGAGGCTAAGTGAACAAGTGTCAGGGAGGCTGCTGAGGGGACCTTTGCCCTGGTCAGGCAGGTGGATGTGGTGACTCCGGGGGAACTGTAACTCTACAGCTCTCCCGAGCCCTGCAGCTGGCCAAGGCCAACCAGGCAGGTGTGGGGACAGGCTCTCTGAGATGCTGCTGGGGTGGGCGCTGAACAGGTATATTTTCCTACTGCTTCTACAGGACAACTTTAAACTTCTATTAGCTTTCAAACTTTAAAAAAAAAAGTGCATTCCTTATCCAAAGCAAATCCATCTCTGGGCAACCATCCCAAGGAAATTATCAGACATGCGGACCAAAGGGGTGTTCAAAGATGTCCATTACAGCATGAGTTAGGACAATGAAAACCTGGAATGAGTGAAACACTCAATGACAATGAATTACGTTTAGGGCTCCCTAAATGACGTTGCGCCCTTTGGAGGAATGACAAGAAAGCCAGTGAAATAGTTATGATGATTTTTGTTAGGGGTTTGGGAAAATAATTATAAAGAGAGCAGGATAAGCAACCAAAGACAGCCACTGCACAAGAACGGGACTGGCAGGACAGCTGCCACAAGGGCTCAGAGACAGGACTGTTGATGACCTTATTTCTGCAGCTCATGCTCTGTCTTAATGAATGCATGGGTATGACTTGGAAGAAGATAGTAGCCAGCCCACTCTCTGGCCGGCAGGCCCCTCCTCCCCCTAGGGGGCGCACTGTGTTTTCCCAAGGTGGTGGGAACCCCACGGAGATGGTGGCTCTGGCCACACTCCTGCCCCTACAGGTGTGGACTCTGGGGCCTGGGCACTGGCTGGCCACAGGCTGCTGATTCTGTTGGATCATGCTCATGTCCATAGAGCTACCCTGCCCCCCAACCATGGAATGCACTCCCCATCCCTGGGTCCCTTCTGCTCCTTCCATTTCAAGGGAAGTCAGACGTGTCCATACACTGCCACGTGACACCAGAGCCCGACGACTCACTCCTCCCCAGCTGCCTGAAGTCCCACCACAAGGGAGTGATCCCTTAGGGTGAAGTTTGATTCCCCCCACCGCTTGCAGACGATGAATCCCTTTTGCACAGAGGTGACATTGTGGCCTTTGGTTGTTGCGACAGAGAATCACAGGGACCGGGAGGGGAGCAGGGTGGTTGCTGAGAGCCTGAGGCTGTACCCTACACGCCACGACTCCAGGCTGCACTCTGCTCTCTGGATATGGGCCCAGCTGTAGGCCTCCATGCCTCCCAGCCTCAGGTATGTGCCTCACCCCCACACCTGGCCTTGCCACCCCCATCTGCACAGGGGCACAGGCCTGTGTCTTGCCAAGCCCTGGGATGGAGAAATCACTGTTGCTCCATCACTGGGCATTTCTGGTCAGGGTCAGGCAGGCTTTGTGTCCTGACAACCACCCATGAGCTAAGTAAGGTTAGTCCCAGCTTTCAGACGAGGACACTGACGCATGAAGAGCTTACACAGCTTGCCCAAGCTACGCTGCCAGGAAATGGGGCAGTCTAGATCTGAGCCCAAGCCACCTAACGGCCCTCTTTCTAAACTGCTATGCACGAAGAGATCCACAAAGCTGGGCTGGAGACAAATGGGAAGGAGCTGCTGCTCTCATGGGTCCGGGCATGCTGGGGGCTCCCTCCCCATCTCTGGGCCTCAGTTTTCCCATCTCCAGAACAAGAGGTGGGACTGACCACTGGGCAGGGTCACTGGGCTCCCAGGAGGCCCATAACTCAGCGTGTGCCTGGCAGCCCACTCACGCTCCACCCTCCCATGCAGCACAAGGCCGGCCCCACCGTGCGTCCAGCTGAGAGGCTCTGGCTGGAGCCAAGAGGAGCAGGGGGAGGAAATAAAGAACAGATGGGCTGCCTGCCGGCCCCTGTCCTGCCCCGTCTGCCCAGTCTGAGTGCTTTCCTGCAGCCTGGCCACTGAGGTGGCCCTGGGAGTTCGAGAAGGACTTTCCACTGATGCAAAAACAGAGGCCACAGGGCAGGGCAACTAGTGCATAGAGTGGGCACAGGGGTAACCACGGACTCAGCCCAGGACCTTCCTGGAGGCCCTTGCCAGAGGAGGCAGAAGCTCCCTTGTCATTCTCCCTAGTGTCTTTCGTTGAGCCTGGGGCAGTCAGAAATAAACTGGGGATAGTGGTCAGAGGCCCAGGATGGGCCCTGGCTCTCCCACACCTGTCTCAGAGCCTCGGTTTTTGTATCTGCCATGTGAGGGGATGGTTCTGGTGGAGGTGGGGACACTAGCATTCAATGAGCACCTATAATATACCACACGCTTTCTGACCTGACTCTCCAGAGCCTTTTCATTTGACAGGAGAGCAAACTGAGGCACAGAGAGGCCAAGCAACCTGCTCAAGCCCACACAGCTGTGGAGCCGAAACTTAAACCCAATCTGCTGATTCCAGAATGACACCTTCCACTGAAAGCTCAGCCTCTCCATGAGACGGTGGAGAGAAAATTAAAGAAAAAGCCTGCTCCTAGGAACACAGCCCCACCTCTGACCTCTGACTCCGGCCACTACCTCAATATTCATTTGTTCACCTAATTTTCATGGAGCACCCACTCTGCACCAGGCTCTGTGGAAAATTCCAGGAATGTGGAAACAAGACAGATGAAGAATGCCCTGTCTTCATGGAGCTCTCAGTCCAAGGCTTTCCAAAGAGGTCAGCCCTGTGACCCTTTCACCAATTGTGGCCCATACCAGTCACGAACTCCCCCGGTCACACACTCCCAGGCTCCAAGTTGGACTCACACCTGTGAAAACACGCTTGGATTCATGTCCTCAGGCAGAGGCTACAGGCCTCCCACGTGACAAGCAAGGGACCTACGCACGACACGTGAAATTATCTCTGATCATCGCCACAGCCTCATGAAATCAGCACACCCTTAACCCTCATGACGGATGAGGAAACTGAGGCTCGAGACAGGGGCAGCAAGTCTGCCAAGTGCCGACCCTGGCTTTCCTTCCCCTCCGTGCTCTGTGGACTGCTTTAGGGACCAGCCAAAGACCCCACACTCACATGTCCACATGCACAGCCGGGGGAGGCAGGTGGGAGGGCCGTGTCCCTGCAGCCTGGTCCAGGCAGCTGCAGGCTCCATGGAGGCCCCAAAGGAAGCAGGCGGCCAGAGGGACAGGTGGGCTGGGCTGCGGCCTGCAGGATGCTGGGAGGGAGGAAGGACGCGGCAAGAGGCCACCCGGGGCTTCCTCTGGAGCCTCAAGGGCCTCCTTGTCTGCGCACAGCCGTCCTGGCCTCCTTGCCCAGGGCCCCCTCCCCTCCTCTGGGTTCCTGCCGCAGCCCAGCATGGGCCCAGAAGGCCTGGCCTCTTGTCACCCCTCCCACCCCTGTTCTGAGCCCAAAGCCACCGCAAAAATGCCATCCTGATTCCACAACACTAGGGTTTGTCAAAGTGCAGGGAACAATGGGAGCTTTCACAGGGACAGGAAAAGGCCTCAGGAAAACCCTGGGGAGGGGGGCATGGAGTGGGGGTGTGGGGAGGAGGGAAGGGAGATAGGAGAAAACAAGCGGGGGACAGAGGGATGAGGAGAGACCCTGGAGAGATGGAGCGAGCGGTGTCAGGAATGAGGGGCGGGGAGTCGGGGAGCGCCCCTCAAAGCAGATGAGGGAAGAGAGGGCAACAGGGTGCCCAGGAGAGGCCAGACACGATGGAGAACCAAACCAAAAGGGGGAGGACAGAGAACTGTGGGGTGATGGAACCCACAGGCACCAAGGAGCGCCCCCAGGACTCAGAGAGGTGCCAAGCCCCCCAACACCCCGTGCCCCCACACTCCGTGCCCCCAACACCTGTGCCCCCAACACCCGTTCCCCCAACACCCTGTGCCTCTAGGCCCTGTGCCCGGCCCCGAGGAGCCGCTGCCCAAAAAGCAGCAGAACCCCCCTCTCCAAATCTCACCCCAGCCAGGCGATTTGAAGTAATCTCAGGCAAAACTTTTTGGAAAGCAAAGACATTTTAATCACATGAACAGCCACTCCCTAAGTTATCTGTTTCCTGCTCTGGCTTTCCTCCCTTAGCAAACCACACGGATCAGAGCGGCGGGGCGGGAGGGGAAGAGGGGCCGGTCCAGAGGGGTGGAAAGCTTCCGAATCACAGGGATTGCAAAAGACAGAGGTTTCCTCCGCCACTGCAGAGACAGGGATTGCTGGCTGCCCTGGTGGGTGGATGGAAGATTTGCAAGTAGCCTGTAGTCCGCTCATTGCTGGAGGGGACTCCTGAGTCTGAAAACCATTTGTTGCCAGGTCTGGCACATCCCTCTTTGGGTCCCATGTGTTCAGTGAGGGCTTTCTTCTGACTGCACCCCTCTCTCCTGCTGCAGTCACCTCCCCAGGTGGGCCAGGCGGAGTCTCCCCAAATACTTAAAGGAAGGCCTGCTTCAGATTTGGGCCTCACCACAGAGCTAAGACAAAACACACAAGGCATTCGGGTCCCTTCCCCCTCTGGCCCCAGCTGACCTTACACCAGCAGCACTTACACTCAAAGAAAAGTCACTCCCTGCAAGTGACATGCTGCCTGTCTGGGCCTTTATCCTGCTGCTCCCTGTGCCCAACGCTTCACCGGTGAACGACCATGCACCCTTCACGAGCAAGCTCCAGGGCACTCTGGTCTCCCTGGCCCAGAGAAGGCAAATGTCCTCCTCAGGAGCTCACCGTACTGCTGAGTCGCAGGCTGGCTGGCGCGGTGCCAAGAACCCATGCCCTGGAGACGTCCTGCTCCTCAAGCTTCCAGGGGACCCGCTTCCCCGAACTTCCAGCGGGCTTTGTGGCCTGCACCACTCGCTTGGCTCCAGGAGAGGCAAGAGACATGATCTGTCCTAGGCCATGTCCTGCCTTGACCCAGACTCCAGCTTGCCAAACTCAGATTTCATCCCAAATTTAAAAGAAATTCCCCAAACTGTCATCTTGTTTCCCACAAGCCTGTCTGTGCTATGGTCAGGAGCGATCTGTACACCTTTCACTTCTCCGGGAGCAGCAGGCCCATGCTGGGGCTCAGAATCCATCAGCAGTGGAGGGGACACCAGGAGTGGCAGTGCCTACAAAGGGTGAGGTGTCAGGTGGACAGTGGAGTTGAGGACAGGGCGGAGGTCGCACGGGTAGGAGGTGGCAATGCCGGGGCTGATCCTGCTGTGGACTCTGTCCGCTCCCAGGATGTCCTCTCGGGCTGTGCTGAGCATCCTGGGTGCCTGTCTTAAGCTTGTAGTGCCATTTGCATAGGGCAGCTGGCCCCTGGCTGTATGTCTGAAGCCGTCCCTGGCAAGGCCTGGCTAAACATGGCCATGACCAGCCTGGCCTTTCCTGGCTGGAGGGAAAGTGGTGGGTCAAGAGGTGGGAAGGCCTCAGCCTGGAGTGAGGCTTTGGGTGTGAGGGCCACAACCCTGGGAGGAGGGGACAGGGGAGCTAAGCTCAAAATAGCGATGGGGGAAGGGTGTGCAGGGTGGCCAAGTGCCAGAAAAGAAATCTGATCTGCCCTGGCCAGTGAAATGCTGAAGTTAGCAGTTTGGGGCCACTCTGGCAGGAGCCCGGGGGCTGGGGCCCCCATGGCTGCCTGGCAAGAGGCTGCAGGCCTGACTCCCAGCCTCGTCAAACCCTCACATAAACCACCTCCTCTCTCTGGGGTTCGATCTCCTCATCTGGCCAGTTGGGGGTAGAAAGAGAAGCAAACTTTCCATCTCTGGGTGAACGCTGGAGCTCACAGTGCTTAGGAGACGGTCACAACCACAGGCAGGGGCTGAGAGTGCTGAGTGTCCCCATGCTGGGGCTGGCTACCCACAGAACCTGTAGGTAGCTTCATTGTGATCCCACTTCCAAGTGAGGAGATGGAGGCCCAGAGAGGTTAAGCCACCTGTCCAAGGTCACAGAGCAAATGAGCAGCAGGCTTTGAACCATGGTCTTTCTCGCTGTTACCCAATTCCCTTATTGCTGAGGGAGGCCATGGACAGGTACAAAGGACACCCGTGGCAACTTTAACCAGGCAGAGCAGAAGTTAAGGGGCTTCTGAGGCCAGTGCAGGCATCTGCCAGCTCTTCCTGTGGTGCCACGCTGTCGGTTGGTGTTGGAAATCAGAGAACCAGCCGTATGGAGGGGGTGCAGGTGCATATAATGTGTTTGTGCACGTGCATACATGTGCGAGGCCCTTGTGGTCACTGCGGGCTGCTATACTTGCAGCACTAACCTCACAGGGTTCTTCAACTGGGGGCGGGGCCTCTGCAGAGAAAGAGCTGCTCTTATGTGACTTTCCAGAGCATCACAGGGAGGAAGGAAGCCTCACACTTCCCATCCTGGCTGACCCTGCTTCTTCACCAAGGGGCTGGAAAGATGTTGCCAAACTGACCTTTCTCCACAGTCGAGGCTGTTCTGTGCAGGAAGCTCTGCAGGAAGCAGAATGATGGAGTGTCCTCAAATGGTCACTTCCCCTGCCTGAGCCCCAGGTTCCCAGGCCCTAAAACCCTCACAGCTCCTGCTATGTGTGGGGTTCCCTTCACCAACCATTCCTTCCTCCCTAGAACCCCTACAGAGGAGGAATCCAAGGCACAGAGAGGTTAAGAGATTTGCCCGAGGTCACATAGCCAGGAAACAACAGAGCTGGGATCCGAACCCAGGCCTGGCCCACTGCTGCCAACACCACATGCCTCCGGCATGGCCTTGAGCTCTGACCTTCTCCTTGCCCTTGTCTGTGGACAGCCCCACATGGCAATAATCCTGCTGGTGCCCTGAGAAGGGCGGAGAAGGAGAAGGGGCTGGCTGGTGGTAGCTGTTTTCACACCCACCTTTGCACACCCCGGTCTTACCACCTGGCACACCTTGTCTCCCAACCAAATCCAGTGGAAGCTGCACTTCCTTCTAGAAGCCTCCTTGACTGCCCTGCCTGCAGGGACCCTTCTGGTCTCTGCCCGCTCACCCCAGGGCTCATCTTGTCACTCTCTGTGCCCCAGGGCCCTTAGGCCACCCCAGGGCCCCCTCCACACCTGCTGAAGGCAAGGTGGACACACACCCTGCAACCTGTATGCACACACATGGCCTCTTTGCTAGGGTCTGAGCCAGCGCCTTTAAAGTGCTGATGGGGTGGAGCACCAGCTGGGGTGCAGACCTGTCCCCAAGGAATGCCTGTCCCAGAGGGGCACTCAGTGGCGTGGGAGCTGGGCTGACCGTCACACAGTAATCATACCACACACGGGGCTGGGAGTGCCAGTCCACGTTCCCCAGCAGGAAGCAAAGGCTTGCTCTGAAGCCACACAGCTGTGCTCATCTTTCTGATTCCAGACTCCCAAACTCCTGCTTTTAGAGCATGCGCTGTTCTTCACGCTCAAGAGCACACACAGGACCATCGGGGCATTGGTACATTGCACACTGCTGCCCCAGCCCCAGAGGCTCAGAATCAATAGGTCTGGGGAGGGCCTGAGAACCTGAGCCATCGCTTGAAAAGCAGGACCCACGGTGGTGTCGGTGGCGGCGGGGTGCTGGAGAGGGCTGGCCTGGCTCTCCTGGCCCAGCCCCAAACCTGTGACTCCTCAGCATCTGGAAACTATCACTGGGAACAATGATCACGGAGCAGGAGGCCTGGCTGCTCAGGGGCTCCAGGCCCGTCTGTTCAGGAAGGCAAAGGAACACAGAGCCTGCAGGCACCTCCTGCCCCCACCTCCACCACTGATGTTTGCCTTGGCACCCACACATAGCTCCCAGTGGGCCCAGCTGTCGGGAAAAGTCAGCCCCTGAGCTACAGACTTGGAGGCTGGTGGAAAGGTTGGGTGCCCAGAAGCCTGGACAGAAGCCAGGTGACCCCAGCTTAGCTCCCTGCTCTGCCTGTGGGACTCCTGGCTCATTATTGTAGCACTCTGGGCCTCAGTTTCCCTGCAGGGAGCTCAGGGACTACCCAGGCTAAAGGCCAGCTGCTCACCACGTACTGGCACATATCTGAGTAGCCTGATGCCTGAATCCCAGCTGCCCCCAGGGATCCCGCTTATCCTTTGCAGGCCAAACACCAGCCAGGGAGCAGGGAAGGCTTTGAAGCACCAATCACCATGTGCATTTACTTCCCCTCCACATGTGACAACAATGAATTAGGCACCCACGAGGCGCTGGAGGAGGGTGGTTAACAAGACAGATGCAACCCCAGCCCCCATGAACTTACAGCCAGGCACGGAGGAAAAGAAAAGCAAGTATCCCATTCAGATCATTAAAGCTGTGATGAGAGCTATGAAAAAGGGGGTGCCGTGGCAGAGAAGAAAGGGGATCCCCTCTTCAGAGTGGGAAGCCACATCACAGCTCTGTTCAGGGCAGTCAACCATTCCCGGTCTCTGACGGTTCAGAGCCTCAACTCCTTAAGGTGGGCGTGTCTCACCTCCTCCTGCCCCTGACCTAGCTCCAACACACTGCCAGCAACAAGCTCTGTGACCTGGGATAAGCCCTTTCCCTGCCTGGGCCTCAGTTTCTCCATCTGTCCATGATGGGGGGCTAAAGTAAAATCAGGAAAGGCAAATACTTCCCCCCGTGTGTGTGCCCGTTACTTGCCACCAGAGCACTGTGGTATGAAGGATTCTGCAGCTACGTCCAAGCTCAGCTGGCAAGCATGGGGTGATTGTCGTGGTGCCTGCCCTGCCATGGCCGGAGGCAGCAGGCACACATGACGTGTGCCTAGACGATCCCTAAAGATCCTTCCAATGCAAATAGTTCCACGAGCAGACAGCACACAGGCTTGAGAGCTGGACAGAGTCTGAGTCCTGCCCCTGCTTCTGCACACCTCTGGGCCTGAAACAGAGGCTAGCTCTCACCTGGCTTGGGCCACTTCAGTGCTGTGCTTTCAAGGCATGACCCTGGCTGCGGGAGCTCTTTAGAAGTATGCCTCTTCCTCCAGGGAGCCTTCCCAAACTGCACTCCTAGCAGACACCTCCCCTGCCCTCCAGGGACCCCCTGTACCTTGTGGATCTCTGCAGGAAACACTTAGGATACACCCCTCTCAGTCTGTGTGTCTGTCACCTCCCTCCCTGCCCTCTCCTCAGGGACAGAGACCCTGTAGGGCTCCCCTCTGATTCCCTGGGCCCAGCATGGATCTGGCACAGTACAGGGGGCTCCGGGGAGCAGGTGAAGGACAAGTGGACATTTGGACATGACCATCAGCCTGGGAGAAGTAGCGGGGGGAGAAAGCCAGAGGGCAGGGGAGGGTGGGGATGGGGCAGGCAGCAGCCTGGCAACTTCCTGGGCAAGCATGCTGGTCGCTGTTCCTGGTCCTCAGTGTGGCTATTGTCCCTGATGGTCCAGAGAACGGGCTCAATAGGGCCTCTGTCCCTTCCTGAGCAGGCCAGCCCAGCTCAGTGGTGTCCCACCCGGGCAGCTGGAAGGCGAGGGCCGACACTTCCTGTCCCCACTGCGAGTGTTTGGAGGAGCAGGGGGAGAAGGGGGGCTCTCAAGACAAGCACCCATCTGTGTCCCCCAGAGAAGAGCTGCCCAGCTGGGGGAGGAGGCGGGAGAAGGGAGAGCAAGGCAGAGGATGGGTTCAACCCTATGCCTCAGCCCCTCCATTCCCAGCCAACTCTCCTCTGAGCTGGAGCCGTCAGGAGGCCCACTCTGGCCCTCTTGCTCTTCCTCGAACAGGCCAAGCACATCGGTGCCTCACTGAGGGCCTTCGCATTTGCTGTTCCCTCTGCCAGGAATACCCTTCCCCCAGCTGCCCACACCATTTGTTCCTGCTTAATTTGTCCCTACTCAAGCTGTCATGTCCTCAAAGACACCATCCCTGACAACCTTCTCGGAACATGACCTACTACCATAGCATACCCATTGGGCCAATTTCTTTACTACTTGTCATCCTAAAAGATTGAGAACTTCATTCTTTCCCCATCTTTCTTGTTCATTATGGAATGTCCTGTGCCTGGAGAAGTGCCTGGCACATAGTAGGTACTCAATAAACATACAATAACCGCGCAGACAAAAGTAGCATGCTTGAACACTGATCTGACCTTCTGGGATGTGCTCAGGATGCGTGGAGCCCCGTGTGCTGGGGGCATCTGGCCAGCATGGCAAGGGAGGAGTGACATCACAGTGGAAAGGGCCCCATGGGGCTGGGGCAGCCTGTGCAAAGGGCTGGACCACAGGAAGCACGGAGGGATTGAGGCTTGGAGGCCAGGCCACTCCAGCCTCAAAGTCCTGGACCATATCATAGAGTTAGATGTCAGCCCAGGAGTATGGGGAGCCAGGGAAGCATTGAAAATGTGAAAGTCAGCCTGGCATGGTGAGATCTCTTTGGCTGTTGAGTGGAGGGAGGGGTTGGACATGAGGAGACCAGTTAGGGGGTGCCACCACATTGCTGGGGGGAGGCGGTGAGGGTGCTGTCAGGGCTGAGGAGTGGCAGAGGGAGAAGGGTGAGAGACCCCTGAGACCACAGGAGGTTGAGTCTGCACTTAGGCTAGCCTTGGCGGAAGAGAGTGAGGGCTTGAGAGCGACTCCCAAGTGTGTGGCCTCAATCATCCGTGTGGCTGTGGGGGCTGAGCCAGGTGCTACCCTCTTGGGCTGTGACAGCCCTGGCTCTGACTAGAGGACAAGGTGGGGTGGTGCAAGGGAAGGTGATGACTGTGTCCTGCACCAGCAGTGATGGATGAAAGGAGACTGGCCGTCACTGGACAGCAGGCAGCAGTGTTGGATGGCACAGCCTCATGATAACTGTCTGCCCTGGCTCCTGTCCTCAGGAGTCGCCTATAAACCTGTCACGTGAGCCTGCTCAAGGTGCCCCTGGGGGTACGGTCCACCTTAAACCTGATTTGGAGGCATGGCCAGGCACCCCGGCATGGTTCCATAATTAAACACACACACTCCCCTGCAGGTGAGAATAGGCTCAGAGCAGGAACCACGTGAACACAGGCCACGGTGGCAGCCCAGGGCTTTCCCCACTGCTCTAAGTTGCCTGCTGGGCCCCAAAAACAATTCTTCAGAGCCACAAAGGAAGACTCAATGGAAGGGGTGTTGGCTCTATGGCAGAAGAAAACCCAGGAGGGAGAGAATGGAACCAGAGTCTAGAGGGAAAGGCAGCCCCGGCCTCCCAGGGCTCAGTGTGCTGGGCACGAGGGCAGTCCATGACCAGGGACATAGAAAGACATTTTCTAGAAGAGTTGAGAGTGGCTGCATGTTCTCTTTTGGTGCGATTCTTCCAATTTTCCGTGTGGCTATTTTTATCACTTTTAGAAATCTAAAAGTGATGAGCAGAGAGCAGGACTGCCACGGTCTCGTTCCACTGCCCACGGGCCCTGCACTTTCCAGAGGAGGAGGCTGAGGCCAGGTGACTCCCGCCCACACAGCCCATGTGGCTGGGCCAAGCTCAGGCCTGCTGGGATCTCAGGCCAGTGCAGAGAGAGTGTGAATCAACTGTGGGGATAGAAGAAGGGTCAGGAGACTTCCAGAAGGCTCTCTGGCCCCTCTTGGAGCTGCCATGCTCAGCCCTGGGACCCTGCCATACCACTCTGAGAAGCTTTCTCAGCCCCAGAGGCCTGCTGTGCCAGGGCAGTACCCCCAGAAAGTCCACTGTCCCCAGTCCCTGGAGCCCCCCACATGTGCCCCGTACAGAGCCCGGGCTGTCTCTCCTGCCCTTCCCTGGCTCCCAGCAGTCCAGAAGGCCAGAATCTCGGGAGTGGGAGGAACCACGTGGGGAGTCTTGGCTTGTGGAAGCTCTGGAGCAAGGACTTTCCTGTTCTACCTCCACAGGGGCACTGAGCCTGTGCCCTGAACTGGGCCTGGGTGGACACAGGTCTGCAGCCACGCACGCACACATGAATGCATGCACACAAGGAAAGAGTGGCATGCACCATGGCATGACCTGCCAGCTCCGTTTTAAGTCAACTGACAAGGAAGTGAGTGGCCGAGGCAGAGCCACGGCTGCAGAACCCCAAGGGAGGCAGCTCAGGAGCTTCCTGCTAGGTTCCCGGGTCCCCTGGGCTGGCCTCTGTGCGAGTGTGCATAGGTATATCGGTGAGGGGCAGACATGCCCGTGTGCACCCTTGCCCCTTAACAGACCTGTGTATGTACACGGTGTGGGTGGCCATGCAGAGCCCGGTGCGCTACACCCATCTCCAGAGGCTGGGCTGCCACAGGCAGCTCTAGATTTCTAAAAGTGATAAAAACAGCCACATGGAAAATTGGGAGGATCCCACCTAAGGAGGAGAACATGCAACCACTCTCATCTCTTCTAGAAAATGTCTTCCTGCTTCCAAGGCCACGGACTGCCTGCAGCCACATAGGGAGATGCCACTGTCCATCATGTGGCCCTGCATCCCCTCTTCTAGCTGAGTTCAAACTGAAAGAGAGCTCTGGCTGTGTGGTCCTGGAGACCTGGGTTCAAATCCCGACTTAGCCATTACTGGCAGAAACAGCTTGGGGAAGTTTCTAAAATGCTCTGAGGCTTAGTTTCCCCGTGTAAGTAAGGATAATAAGGTCGATTGGGCAGGCAGTCAAAAAGCTTTAAGGAGCTCATGAGTGCCAAGCATGTGGCTGGAATTCAGTTAACAATAGCCACCATCACCATCATCATCATTATTATGTGGATACCTGCCTACATTTCAGGTGTCTACGGCTTTTAGACTCTTTCTTCTCTACCTGCCAACCTTCTGAAAACCCAGGAGACTCTGAAATCCATCATTTTACCCTCTGAAGGATTACAAGGAAGTCTACCCAGCTACCTTCAACAAACACAAGCCGCTGGCCCGAAATGGATTCAGTACGGAGTGAGAGCAGTGGATGTGACCAGCCCTCCCAGCATGCCAGGATTTCCCCTGGGGTCTCATTTAATCCTCACAGTAACTCTGTGAGTTACCATCCACTGATCCCCAGCATGGAGAGGCCCGGAGAGGTGGAGGAACTTTCTCAAGGTCACACAGCGAGTGGCGGGACCCCTCCCCATGCCTGACTCTTCAGCCCAGCCTCTGCCTCCTGGCCTCTGAGCCTGATGTGTGCTGGCACAAGGCGGGCACCCGTCCTCGGGGAGTGGAACAGAAGACTGTGGTCAGGCAGGCAGGAAACGGCCAGGAGGTCATGCAGGGGCAGGGGGAGCTTCTCCTGGGCCTGTTGAAATCCGCCAGGCTACAGGCTTTAAATGTGTAATCCTGAGTCGTAGGACTGGTCCCCTGTCCCCTTGGAGGGACCCGAAGTTTGGCTATAGAAAGCTGATGGTTCTGTGCAGAGAGCCAGACCTGGTCTGGACTAGCTGGAAAGGACCATACAATGACAGCTGGGAGGTCAGGGCCCTGGGTTTGGATGCCAGCTCTGTCAGGCATGTCACCTCCTCCTTCTGGGCCTCAGTTTTCCTGTCTGGAAAAGGCATATATGTGCATGTGCATGTCCGTGTGTGTGTGTGTGTGTGTGTGTGTGTGTGTGAGAGAGAGAGAGAGAGAGAGAGAGAGAGAGAGGGAGAGAGGGAGAAAGTTTAGGGAGGTGCTTTGGGTGTGATAGCCTCTAATGTCTGAGCCAGTCTGACACAGAATTGACAGCTTTGCTGTAAGATGGGAGGATGCAAGAAGCGATCTGGGGACACGGCTACATGTCCACCCACTGCCCTCCTTGCCGCAGGGTTACATGTGCCCCTCGCACTCGCTCTGCCTTCCACTCCTGTACAGCCAGTGTGGAGGAAGAGCCAAAGAAGTGAGAGCTCCGTGGGGTCTCTGCTCTCCCCACCCTCCCCGCTTCCCCCAAGACAGGCCTCCAGGCCAAGGAGGTGAGGGGGGCATGCGTCCAGGCTTATACAATCACCACCTTGTCTCAGGGAGACAAAGGCCAGGCCCCAGGCCTTGGCAGCCAATTGCCCAGATGGAACGACAGGTCACAGAGCTGCTGAATTTAGAATTTAAAAAATATTAGTGCCACAATAGCTTAAGTTCTTGGAGTCTCTAGAATTTGGGATAATGAAAGTGTGAGAATTACAGACATGGAGAGTCCTCATTTTGGAGAGGAATAATACTGCACGCTGGAACACAGAAACACGTGGAAGGTTTCAGAAGCGCGTACTTTAGGTATATAGAGCTATTAGAGAGTCTCATGCTCTTAAAGTTGCAAAACCAGAACATGTAAGTGTCAGAATCCTCCGTCCTGGGAAGCCTCGCTTCCCAGAATAACAAAGCTGCAGTCATATGATCTACGGAATCTGGGACTGAACATCAAACAGTGTTAGAAGCGGGAACCTCTGCAATGTTCATTTGGGAGTCTCCTGGAACCTTGTAATCTTGCATTCCCAGGACCTCAGAAGGAGAACTGTGGTTATGATCACCTGCAACCCCCACATCTGCCAGAGCACCCCGCCATTTCAGACCTGGTAATGGTGCTTTTGCCCAGCTGCATGTCAGAATCACCTGGGGAGCTGGGAAAATGCCTGTGGCCAGGCCCACCCTGGATCTACTGAACCCGAATTTCTAGCACCAAAAACCAAACCAAAACAAACTCAGTTGGTTCCAACGCGAAGCCCCAGCGTGGAATCACCGATCTTGTCTAACCTCTGCTCCACATTACACATAGGGAAAGAGAGACTGCAAGTAACCGGCCCAGGGATACGCCGTGCTGGTCCCTAGCCTCTTCACCAATGTCACACCTCCCAAGCCTCTGCTTGCTTCCTCTGGACCTAACTCACTGCATCTGTCTCAGAGGACTTCTGCCCCTGCGGTATTCCTAATGATCTTGAGTACCATGAAGGCTAAGACAGAGTGAGACACACAGAGTTGCTAGGCTCACAAAGCCAGCCCCTCCCATCCTCCCACTTACGTGCTCAAACCTCCAGGCTGCTTCAAGAAAGGTTACTAAGGTCACCAAGGTCATTCCCCAGCCTCCGGGGAGGCCTGACATGAAGACAGGCCCCAGGCACAGAGAATCAGAAGCCAGGGCTCCTTGCTGTGTGACCTTAGATGAGTCCCTTGGCCTCCCGAGGTTAAAATGGTTTCAGGGCAGGATGTGGGGAAGAGGACCTCTAGGAATCCATTCCAGTTCCACCTCCCAACCAACCTCACACACACTGGCCACACGTTTAAGGGGATGGAGGCTTCAGTGTCCTTGGCTGGCTTGCTCCTGATCAGTTGGGACGTTGCTTATTTCTAACCTGGAACGTTCCAACTGTGGTCTCAACCTTTAGCCCTCCTGTGTGAAGATGGAGACTACCTGGTACAAACGCCCTTCACTTGTTCAGAAGAAACCCCTAGCCCTCCTGAGCCCAGGCTGAGGGTACCCCCTCATTCCTCCCCACACCCTGTCCCAGGTCTGGCAGGCCTTGCTGATTCTGGTGGGAGTTTCATTCCCAACAAATGAGGTTGGTCCCATCAGAGGTTGCTGGAGGGACAGAGGCTGTCAGAGCTTCTGCCCAGCTTCAGTTGAACCCTGTTGCACTCACAACTCCTAAGCAGTTAAGCAGGGCTGGGGTCCGGCTGGGCCACGGCGTTTCCTCCAATGAGATGGGAATTTCCAGCCAAGAACCCCTTGTAGGCTATGGAGAGAAGGCCCAAGAGGCAGCCTCCAGGAATGGGGAACTGGAAGCTAGAAATTCCCAGACCAGAGTTTCCCATGGGCGATGGGGGCAGCTTGGGAGAATGCAGATTCTGACCCAGCAGGACGGGGGCAGAGCCTGAGGCCCGGGCTGTGCATTTCTGATAAGCTCCAGGTACCGCCACTGCTGCCAGTCCACTGTCCACACTTTTAGGCAAGCCTTTAGATGTTCATCAGTAAAAGTATTTTTATTCCTACAAAGCTCTTAACTTTTGTTCAGCTTGGCTTTCGTCATTTCCAGCTTTGTTAGCTCATGAGACCTACACAGCAGCCCTGAGGGATAGAAGGGGAAACTGAGGGGTGCCAAGGGCAATGGGCTTATTCGAGGTCACCCACTTGGCTCTGCTCCTTCCTCTAAACTCCTCCTCTATGGCGGGTTAGAACCAAATGCCTTGGTAATGAGTGGCCTCACTGAGCGACTCCTTGTCCTGCCTCCAACTCAACTATGTGGTATGAGGCTGCTGGGGCAGCTAGGGGGCCCTTAATGAACGGTGCTGGCTCCCTGTGGCCTGAGCTGGTGGGACAGGATGGGGAGGAAGGGATTGGAAATCAGCCAGGGCTCAAATCCCAGCCATGCCCTTGGCTCCTGTGTGACCCTGGGCGAATCCCCTGATGTCTCTGAAGACATCAGTGACATGCACCATCCCTGGTACGTGGAGGATGCTCAGTCAACATGAGCTCCCTGCCTTTCTTTCCACCTCCACATCGTGAGTCTTGTCTATTTCTTCCTTTCCTCTGCACATAGTTATGACAACACAGTCTCTGAGGCAAGACTGCTGGGAAACACATCCAAGCTGTGTGACCCTGGGCAAGTCACTTATCCTCTCTGTGCCTCAGTTTCCTCCTCTGTGCAATGGGGATAAGAAGAGTGTCCAGCACAAGGGCCATGAAGAGATGAGTCAATGGGTGAAAAGTGCTCAGAGCAGTGCCCGGAACACAGCGAGTGCTCCCTGTGCCCATAGCTGCTGCGCTGTTTGATGACCGGGGCCCCACTCAGAGTGCGCACCACGGCAGACACTGGATGGAGCGCTGAAGCCACAGCAACGCAATGGCTCACACCTGCTGAGCACTCACTATGTGCCCGGCGCTGTGCTAAGTGATTTTCTGCCAGCCTTCCTCCATCCCCGAGATCACAGTCAAGGAGAATACAAAATACTAAGCTGATTGTGCAGGGTGTTTTGGGAACACAGAGGAAGGACTGACACATGGGAAGGGCTCAGAGGGCCTGTGGGAGGTGGGGACACAAGGCCCTGTTTGAGCTTCACAGTCCCCAGGAAGGCGTGGAGGAGCATGGGCCTCTGTTGGATTTTACCCCTTGTCATCATGCCTACTGCCTTGGGGACACCCCTCCACCTCACCATCACCCCAACCTGTGGGGGAGAGACCCAGGGCTCCCACAAAGCCAGGGAACCTGCAGAAAGCCCAGCAGGGAGGAAGGCCTGGGTTTACGGTGACTCCTGCAGCCTGATTTCTGCCAGGGCCGGAGCTCAGCATGTCCTAGAGGACGGACCCCCTCTGTTCTTGTGGGCAGAGGGGGCAGTGGGAAAGCAGGGCCTGAGGTCAGACTGACTTGGCCTGATCCTAACCAGCTGTGGGACCAGGGGCAAGTTATGTCATCTGTTACAAATGAAAAGAAGAAAGGATGAGAGACAGACAGACGAAGAAAGAAGAGTGGGCATGTGGGCCACAGATGACATCCAGGTGAGTGTGAGAACCCAGCCAGCAAATGAGATGAAGGCGCCCCATGGGCCAGGCACGAGGGAGGTCTGGTGTCCCCGGGCTCCTCACCCCCATTCCATGCACACTTCTTCCCTGCACCTGCTGCCCCACTTCTCCGAGGCCTGAGCTTGGAATGGGTGGGGACTGTGTGTCAGGCCAGGGGCTGTGTGACTCTCCAAGTCAGGCCAGCTCAGTGGTGCCAGGGCCTCTAACCCACAGGCTGGGACCTGCCAACTTGCCCCAGCTGGGCCACCTCTCACTCCACACAAAGCCACTGGGTGCAGGAGGCACCCAATGCAGGCTCCACCCTGGGCAGCCACCCCAGACACAGTGGAAAGGGAAAATGCTGCCCTCACAAATCTGCCTCCAAGACCCCATGGCAGCTGAGGCGGGGATCAGCTCACAGCAGCCACCAAAGCCTCAGGACCCTGACTGGCACCCTCCGATCATCTCAGCAAGCGTGGCTGCCTGCTGGGCAGCGCAGCAAATGGTACAATGTCACAGTTCTCAAAGTGCGTTCGCCTGCCCAATCGCCTCTGGATCTCACAGAAGCCCTGAGAGACGGACTTCATGGCTGATGCCACTTCAGGCACGGGGGTGGGGGTGCCCAAGGGCAAGGCCAAGTTGGTCAATGTTGAACAGCTACTGAGTGATGGCCCTGGGATGAGAGCTCGGGCCTTCTGACCCCAAGGCCATGCTCCCTCTGCCAGCCAGGCAGACACAGACCCTGCCTGGGAAGGGGCCTCGGGAAGTAGAAGACAGGCTTGTGCCCGGATTGGCCCTGGGCTAGGCAGGGCTCAGCAAGACAGAGCAGGAGCACAGGGATAGGAGCCAGCCCAGGGGGCAGGGCACAGAGGGGCATAGGGGGCTGCACCACGGAAGAGGACGTGTTTGGGCTGAACCTGGGCGAGATGAGAGCGATTCACTGGCTGAGGCCATAGCTAGGCAGAGTGGGGAGGAGAAGGCTGAGCAGAGGTCAAAAGGCCTGGGGTGGGCAGGAATAGACATTCCAGGTAGGGCAGGGCAGAGTGAAGCCCACCCAAAGAGGGGCATTCTCCGTCCTTGGGGGCCAGATGGGGGTGGGGGAATGGTGAGAAACCTGGCTGAGATTTCTTACCTCTTGAGGGCCTTAAAACCAGGTTGTGGGGTGGGGGTGCTGTCCTGACAAGTTGGGGTTCACAGAGAAGAGCCCCAAGGGCTGGGATGATTGGGGAAGACTCCCTGAGAGAGGTGGGCTCAAGCTGGCCTCTGAAAGGGGGATAGGAGGAAAGAGATTTGGGGGAGGCATTGCAGCGCGGGGACAGTGTGAGCAAGGCCTTGAGGCTGGAGAGCCTGGGGTGTGTGCATGCATGCACGTTTGCATGTGTGCACATGTGTGCATGTGCGTGCCTGTGATTAAGCAGCTGCAGGGGTGGGTCAGGGAGGAGGAGAGGGGTCCGGTGCGTGTTGCTTCCCAGGCATCCAGGCTGCTTCTCATCTCCCTCACACCAAACCCCCATCAGGTACATGAGCCTCAGTTTACAAATGAGGACAGATCTGGCTCCGGAAGCCCCAACAGCGAAGGCTGCCACTTACTGCTTGTGGGAAGCCAGGCCCTGTGTCAGACGCTTTCCCCACACACCCTGCAAGGATGGTGAAGCCATTTTACAGATGCCTGGGAGAAGTTGGGTAACATGGCGAAGGACACACAGCTGGGAAAAAGCAGAAATGAACTCTGAGTCTAGCTCAGTGAGACTCCAGTACCTGGGGCTCTCCTGTTCTTACTGACGTTGAGGGACCAAGAGATATCCCAGCTAGAACCTTCCGCAGGGCCTTCACAGTAAAGGGCACTTGAGTTATTCCAAGACAAGTTAGCCACGGGAAAGGGGCAGGCCAAGGGGCTGGCACACTGGAGGTCCTTGGCAGGTGAGGACTAAATGAGTGAGTGAATGAGTGAGTGAGTCTTTCCGGCCTTCAGAGGAGGCCAGTCCCTCTGGACTTGGAGAAAAGGAGAAATCAGAGAGGGTTGCCCGAAGGAGGTGACACTTGGAGCTATTCAGCTTAAGGATGCACTTGCTGTGCTGCAGTGTTTGATTCACTAGGCCTTGCAGGTAGTTCAAGACCAGGACTGGTCCTGGCTCCCAGGCTCTGCCAACATCTCTGTCCCTAAGGCTCAGAAGCAGCGGGCTGGGGAGGGGAGGCCACGGACACATCAAGATTCCTGGGACTTCTAATCATCATCTGTGATTCTTCCAAAAGCAGAACTGGCAGCTGAGGATGTGAAACTGGCCCTCCCAGGCTCTTTCCTGCCAGGCAAGAGGCAGCAGGAAGGATGTAAAAGTAGCTTCCCGTGAACCCTCACACTCCCGGACCCACCCCTCCAATCCCTCACCCCTGCCCCACCCCCAGCAGCTGCTCCCATTTGTCTGTGAAAGGGCAAGCACTTGGAGAAAGATTCATCTTCCCTGGGCCAGAGGGAAACTGACAGGTGGCACTGGGTACATTCCAGCTGTGCCACATCACCCCTCCTCCCACACCTTCCAGCTATGCCTCATCACCTCCTCCCACACCTTCCACCTGTGCCTCATCACTCTCCTCCCACACCTTCCAGCTGTGCCTCATCATCCTCCTCCCGCACCTTCCAGATGTGCCTCATCACCTCCCCCCACACCTTCCAGCTGTGCCTTATCACCTCCTCCCACACGTTCCAGCTGTGCCTCATCATCTCCTCCCTCACCTTTCAGCTGTGCCCATCACTCTCCTCCTACACCTTCCAGATGTGTCTCATCACCCTCCTCCCACACCTTCCAGCTGTGTCTCATCACCCTCCTCCCACACCTTCCAGCTGTGCCTCATCACCTCCTCCCACGCCTTCCAGCTGTGCCTCATCACCTTCTCCCACACCTTCCAGCTGTGCCTCATCGCCTCCTCCCACACCTTCCAGCTGTACCTCATTGCCTCCTCCCACACCTTCCAGCTGTGCCTCATCGCCTCCTCCCACACCTTCCAGCTGTACCTCATCGCCTCCTCCCACACCTTCCAGATGTGCCTCATCACCTTCTCCCACAGCACTCATCCTGGGCACAGGAAAGTCTCCAGGACTCAGTCCCTGAAGCCAAAGTCATCTGGGATTTCCCCTATCCCCTCCCCAAGACGCTGAGAAAACACAAAGTTGTCACTTGGCCTCCCTGTGGCCTCTCCCAGATGCAGCCCCTCTCTTAGGGGGTGAAGGTGGAAAGGGAGGACTCCAGCCACCTCTATGGATCCTCACAGTGCTGAAGCAGTCTCTTAGACCCCTGGCATGTCTCAAGCGAGTTTGAAACAGTGGAGTTGAGGCATAATAATAATGACAGTCGCCTGGGCTTGGCGGCTCATGCCTGTAATTCCAGCACTTTGGGAGGCCGAGGCAGGTGGATCACATGAGGCCAGGAGTTTGAGACCAGCCTGGCCAACATGGCGAAACCCTGTTTCTACTAAAAGTACAAAAATTAGCCAAGTGTGGTGGTGCGCATCTGTAGTCCCAACTACTCAGGAGGCAGGAGAATCGCTTGAACTCAGGAGGTGGAGGCTGTAGTGAGCCAAGATCATGCCACTGCACTCTAGTCTAGGTGACAGAGCAAGGCTGTCTCAAAAATAATAATAATCATAATGACAGTAATTAACAGAGTCCTACTTGCAGTGCAAGCAAGGTGCCAGGCACTCTTATAAACACGTCAGATAAAATAACTCAGGCTCACAACATCTCTTGAAGTAGGATGTCTTAGTATGGTCATTTTACACAGGAGGAAACTGAGGCCTAGAAAGACTGAGTGAATTTTTCCCGAAGGCACACAGCACTGCTGCTACCAGGTGGCGCTGGGGTAGAATGCAGGCAGGCTGGCTTCGGCACTGTGCTCGAAGGCTCAGCACTGCAGGGAGGGGGCTTTGGCAGGGGAGGAGGGGGGTCTCGAGGCCTGGATGCTGGGTTTGGGGCACTACCCTAAAGTCAGCATCTGTGCCAAAGCCACCACCTGCCAAACAGCAGGCATGACACCCCCAGCAACACCCATCCCAGCTGACATTCTCTGAGTGCTCACGGCATTCCAGGTTCTGTGCCAAGTGCTGGAAGAACCTCAGCCGAGGCCCCTCGGCCAGCCGGCCCAGGCTCCAGAACCCCCTGAAAGGCTACCTGCAGCACCCATCCCCTGCTATGCACCTGCCCTGGGCCCAGTTGTTCCTCAATGGGAACACAGAATGATGCTGTCTGTCCTCCCTCTTCTCCCCCTTCCTCCCTCCCTCCCTTCCTTCCTTTCTTCCTTCCTTCTTTCCTCCTTCCCTTCCCTTCCCTTCCTTCTTTTCCTTCCCTTCCTCTCTCCCTCCCTTCCTTCCTTCCCTTCCCTTCCCTTCCTTCTTTTCCTTCCCTCTCTCCCTTCCTTCTGGATGTTTGTTAATGAGTAGTGGGTGGCAGTATAACACTTTGCTAATTCCACTGTCTAACATTAAAGGGCTTTTTGTCTGTGGTGTTATCTTTCTGCCCCTCCTTCTCTTCCTCCCTCCCTCTATGCTATTTATTTATTTAAAGACGGAGTTTTTCGCTCTTGTTGCCCAGGCTGGAGTGCAGTGGCGCAATCTCGGCTCACTGCAACCTTCACCTCCTGAGTTCAAGCGACCCTTCTGCCTCAGCCTCCCTAGTAGCTGGGATCACAAGTGTGCGCCACCACACCCGGCTAATTTTTTTGTATTTTTAGTAGAGACGGGGTTTTACCATGTTGGCCAGGCTGGTCTCAAACTCCTGGCCTCAGGTGATCTGCCCACCTCCGCGTCCCAAAGTGCAGGGATTACAGGCGTGAGCCACCATGCCGGCCTCTGTACATTTTTTGTGACTGGCAGCCCTTTCCTTCCCATGTGCGCTAACACGTGAGGTGGACATGTGCGAGGAAGCCCTGGTGGGAGGAAGGGGCTAGGTCCCCCACTGGCCCACCACACTCCTCATCCTCTCTCCCTATGCCGCCCAGCTCTGGGGCTCTGAGAAGCTTCTAGTCAGCCCACAAGGTTCTGGAGGGGAAATTCTGCCTACCCTCTGTCCTTTTTAGCCTGTCCCCTTTATGGGCTCTAGCCACTCTGGCCCCAGAGGACACCCAGACCTGCAGTGAGGTCAGGGCTGGAATGAGGGGTTGGACATTGCAGGCAAGGGTCAGACATGGGCTGGGGGCCTCGGCCCTGCCTGCTGCCTCCAACAGCCCACTCCCCTCAAGGACCAGCCTGCTCTGGCCTGGAGAGGGCTGCGGGGGTGGGGGTCCTCGAGGGCTGCAGAGACCTGGGTGAGGGAGAAGGGGGATTGAGCCAGCCCCCTCTTTCCCTTGTCTCCTGCCCTTTTCCCCAGCAAGACCCTGAAACTATTTACATCCCGCCCCTAAGATCTCAGCTGTTCTAGGATTCCATTCTCTCTCGGCTCTATTTTTCTTTTTCTTTTGCAATCTCCAAGAAACCCGAGCTGCCAGATGGGTGGGGGCGATGATTGTTTTCTGTCTGACATCTGGATTTCATTAGCAGCCCTGGACATGCTGACTCAGGAATGGCAGTTCCCCTCAGGCCCACCCAGACCTCTCTTGGTGCCTGGCTCTTAGTTGGACATGAGAGGCACAGGTGACAACACCCCTCAGCTCTCCTCAAAGGAGTAACTAGTACCCCCAACAATGTCTCAGAAGTGATGGGAACGGGTTCTAGAGAGCTTCTGCTCCCAGGTCAGCACTTGAAGGGTGGCTGCCAGGCTGGGTGTGGCTGGGCCTGACAGCCGTGAAGGGCAAAGGGAGAGCTTAGGAAAAGCCGCATAGCCCCCACCACTACCCCAGACTCCGTTTCTACAGTGGTACTGAGTACATCATCAAGGCAGCAACCTCAAATCACAGATAAGAAAAGGTGGCCCAGAGAGGTTAGGCAGCTTGCCCAAGGTTGCACAGTAGTTAAATGGCAGAGCTAGAATTTGAACTCTGGTCTTCGTATTAAAAATTCAAGGCTGTGTCCTTTGACCTCAACAAGGTATTGCCCACATCAGCATCAGGACCCTCACCCTGCCTGAGCTTTAGTGGAGTGGTAGTATCTAGAGTTTTCATGTCCTGTCATCAGAGAGACCTACAGTGGCCACCCAATAGAAAGCTGCCCCCAGACACTCTCCAGGGCTGCGTTATGACTTCTGTGGGTGCTAGGCACTTTTGCTTTTGTGGCCCCTTTCTGCATAAAACCTATTAAAAATTATATTTTCTGGCTGCGTGTGATGTCTCATGCCTGTAATTCTAACACTTTGGAAGGCCGAGGCAGGCAGATCACTGGAGATCAGGAGTTTGAGACCAGCCTGGCCAATGTGGTGAAACTCTGTCTCTACTAAAAATACAAAAATTAGCTGGGTGTGGTGGTGCACGTCTGTAATCCCAGTTACTCAGGAGGCTGAGGCAGGAGAATACTTGAACCTGGGAGGCAGAGGTTACAGTGAGCTGAAATTGTGCCACTGGACTACAGCCTGGGTGACAGAGTAAGACTCCATCTCAAATATATATATATATATATATATATATTTTTTTTTTTTTTCCTGACTGCATTGGTGTAAACACAAATCTCCAGGCTGAGTTCATAATTATATATTCATTATTATACTAATTTTCTCTTCTGTTTATAAAATAAATACAAATAGAAACATATCTGTGGCCGGGTGTGGTTGCTCACGCCTGTAATTCCAGCACTTTGGGAGGCCGAGGCAGGCAGATCACTTGAGGTCAGGAGTTCGAAACCAGTTCAGCCAACATGGTGAAAGCCTGTCTCTACTAAAAATATAAAAATCAACTGAGCGTGGTAGCGGATGCCTGTAATCCCAGCTACTTGGGATACTGAGGCAGGAGAATCACTTGAACCCTAAAGGTGGAGGTTGCAGTGAGCCAAAATCGCACCACTGCACTCCATGCTGGGTGACAGAGCAAGATTCCATCTCAAAAAAAGAAAAAGAAACGTATCTGTGGACCCTAAAAGTATCATGGGCCTATACATGCTACTAACGACTGTTTCTCATGGAGAAGGCAGCCTGGTGTGCGCATAAAAGCACTCTTCTGTGTTCTTCATCTGATCTGATATTTCCCTGTGTTCTCATTTATTTGTACTTACTGCCTGACTTCACCCTCTGAAACATAAGTCCCTGGACAGAGGGAGCCTTTCCTGTTTTGCTCACTGTGGTGTCCTCTAATGCCGGCTACGCATCTGACGCATAGTAGACATTAAATAAATAACTGCAGAATGGGTAAATGAAGGTGAGTCTACCTGTTCCTGCATGTTTATTTGTATCTCAGTTGGCAGCCATCTGTCCAGGCAGCCACCCTAAAGATCTGGTAGCTCTCCTTGCCACCTGCCCCTCTCCCCGTCACTGGGCACCAGGCCCCACAGATGGCACTTTTCCATAGTCTCCAGAATCCGTTCCCTCCCCTTCAGCCTCTGCTCACTGCTGTCTTGTGTCCAGTCTTATCGGCCCCTAAACATGCTCAGGGGCTGGCTTCCTTAGCACTCTTGCCTCCTCAGCCTGGCCTCCAACCTGCTACTAACAGGATCTTTCAAAATGCCAATCTGAGCATGTCACCTAAAACCCTTCTCCCTGGCCTCCAGATAAAGTCCAAGTTTGTGCAGCCTGGCACGCAAGCCCTTCATCACCTGTTCCAGCCACACCTCCGCTCCTCCCCCGGCAGCGCCTGCTGTGGCCCAGGGCTCACGGTGCCCGGAAAGCATATTCCTGTTATTTACACGCTCGCTTGGAAGCCTTCCCCACTCCAAATCCAAGCTCCTCCTCTCTGAGGCCTCCCACGAAGCTCCAGGCTGAGCTGGGCTGGCACACAGGGCTGGGCTCACCACAGCCTTGGTCCCCCAGAGTGGCCAACGCTCTATCTGTCCCACTGAGGACAGGCGAAGGGCCTTATCCAGCACAGGCCTGGCACACGAGAGGCCCTCAGGAATGGTTGGGTGATGAGAGCATGTCCTGAGCCCTGCTCTGTCCTGGATAGACTGTGTGTCCTAGGCACAGATGTGGCACTATGCCAGGCCCCCGCCACAGACCCCTGCAGGCAAGGGCAGCTGGCTCAGAGCAAGACACTGCTGCTTAGTCCTGACAAGTGCAGAGGTGCAGAGGCCAACATGGGATACCAGGCGACCCTGCAGGTAGGCCCAGCAGATACCAGCCATGCCTCCCTGCCGTCAGTGGGTTTTCTGTTGTCACCAGAGCTGGCAAGCCCAACCCACTCCTGACCTACCTGACTACACTGGGGCAGCAGACACCCTGATGGTGGACTGGTGGTGAAGCTACCAGGCACACCAACTTGGCCAGACCAGGCCTGGGATGGCTTCTGCCCACATTGTCCTTGTCCTTCTCTACTTCCAATCATCTCTCTTTTTAAAGAACCCTGACTTTCTGGGAATGACAGT